GAGTAAACCAGGCGGGTATCCTCAAGGAGGTCAGGATTCATACTATGGGGAACGTCGCGCTCCAATACCTGCCACCCAGCGTTTTTCTGACAGAAGTTATGAAGATTATGGTCAACCTCAACAAGCCCGGTCTTCTGTAGCTTCTGAAGCTTCTATGGATGCTACCATTTCGCGTATGGCAAGCATGAAGATTGGTGACGATCGTAGTGCACCAATTACATCTCAAGGTTTATATACTCCACAAAGAGTAAATTCTCCTCGTCCTCGTCCTAATCAACAAATGCAAGGACCCCCTCCCAATCAACAAATGCAGGGACCCCCTCCTAATTACCAAATGCAAGGCCCTCCTCCTCCTATTCAACAAATGCAAAGACCTCCTCCTCCTAATCAACAAATGCAAGGACCTCCTCCTCCTAATCAACAAATGCAAGGACCTCCTCCTCCTAATCAACAAATGCAAGGTCCCCCTCCCTTTTCACAACAAAGAGAATATTCTAATTATGGCCCCGAAGAACAATATTATGGTCATTATCCTCAAGGTTCTGACCCTCCCGTTAAAACACTTAACCAAAACTCTCAGAATTATTATAATAATCAATATCCTCCTCAGGATTATCATCCCAAAGACAGTCAGGAATATTATCCTCGGGGTCAAAATTATGATACTGCATCTATATATACTGAAGATTCATATAATTATTATCCAACTCAAACTTATGATTATGATAATGTAAGTCAAGGAACAAATGGTTATGATTATTATCATCGAGGTTATCCTCCTAGTGATGGTTATCCTCCTAGTGAACGATATCCTCTTAACGAAGGTTATCCTCCTAGTGAAGGTTATCCACCTAGTGAAGGTTATCCTCCTAGTGAAGGTTATCCACCTAGTGAAGATTATTATAATGGTATGAATCCTCATCAATATTATCAAGATCCATATTATCAAGATCAATATTATGGTCCACCAGATGAATATGGTTCTAGGTCTTATTATAATCAACCTCCAAGGTCGTATATAGAAAATACAAATAGGTACTCTGGTCAAAGGAATTCAGCTCCACCTAACAACGTAGAGGATAAAACTTTATATACACCAGAAGCAATAGAACAATATAGACAAAAAGTTAAATCGACTACCGATCCTGATGCTTTGTTTGCCTATGCTAAATATTTAATTTCTGCTTCAGTTTCTATTGGTAGAGATGATCCTGACCCAAAAAATGCAAAAAAGAAAAAAGATATTTTACTTCAAGAAGCGATTAAATTGATAAAACGTTTAGCCACGCAAAGTATGGGTCGTCCTTCACATCCTGATGCACAATTTTACCTTGCAGATTGTTATGGTAATGGTTCATTAGGGTTAGCTGCAGATCTTGAAAAAGCTTTTAATTTATATGAACAGGCATCAAAATCACGTCACCCTGCGGCTACTTATAGAACTGCGGTATGTTACGAAGTTGGTGGTGGAACAAAAAGAGATCCTCATAGAGCTGTACAATTTTATCGTAAAGCAGCTGCATTAGGTGATACTGCTGCCATGTATAAACTTGGAATGATCATGTTAAAAGGACAATTAGGTCAACATGAAAATCCACGTGAAGCTATTAATTGGCTTAAACGTGCAGCAGCTCAAGCAGATGAAGCAAATCCACATGCATTACATCAATTAGGATTATTACATGCTAAACCAGAAAATGAACCACCAATAATTCCTTCATTAATCAGAAATGAAGGACATGCATTCGAAGAATTTAAACGTGCAGCGGATTTAGGTTATGCACCATCATGTTTTAAATTAGGATGTTGTTTTGAATATGGACAGTTGGGTTGTCCTGTTGACCCTCGAGAATCTATTCGATATTATTCACGTGCTGCCGAAAAAGGTGATCCTAATGCCGAATTAGCATTATCTGGTTGGTATTTGACAGGTTCGGAAACTGTATTGAAACAATCTGACACAGAAGCATATTTATGGGCAAAGAAGGCTGCAGATAAAGGTCTTGCGAAAGCAGAATATGCCGTAGGTTATTATACAGAGCAGGGTATTGGTATAAAACAAAATCTTGAAGAGGCAAAACGTTGGTACATGCGTGCTGCAGGTATTATCGTATTATCTTTTTTATAAATTTATTAATCAATCAAATAATAATACGTAAATAATAATACGTAAATAATAATACGTAAAAAAATAATTAATACGAATATTATTAAATTTTATTATTAGCACAAGGGAATAAAAGAGCAATGCAACGTCTTACGGAACTAAAACATATGGGTAGTAAAAGTCACTTAAACCGTTCAAAACACACACGAGCTCAAGCAAATAAAGAAGATTGTACCATATGCTAAAATTGCTTGTATCATAATCTCGTGAATGAATATTGGAATTATTTAGATTTTTTTTTGGATTTACTAAAGGTTTTAATTTTTA